GGCAGGCGTTTAGATAGCTATCATTAGCCCTTTAATTGACTTCGGGCTTCACAGAGGGAAGGTTCATCGAAGAAGCAGAAAGTTGAGGGGTGGGAACAGAAGAGCGATTCAAAGATGTAAAAGAGGCAGACAGACACAAAGGCAGAGAAAAGGGTAATTACTGTGAAAGGGGTCGAATATAACAAGCAGTCGTGCCATGGTATCTTGAAGTCAGAAGTCAACTGCCGAATAATAGACTTTTTTGCCGTATGAGTATACGTTGCTCAGGGTGCACCACGTGGAGGTAAGTCTATCCCACACCCCAAGTGATAAAATTCGATGGGGGTAAAAGAAGAGTGATTCACAGAAGTAAAAGAGACAGACAGACATAAAGGTGGAGAACAGGTAAGATTGATACTATTGAAGTGGTTGAATATGGCATACAGTGGGGTGATGATGGTTTGGAGTCAGAAGTCGATTGACGATTTATAGACTTTTTTGTCGCATGAGTATACGTTGCCCAGGGTGCACTACGTGGAAGCAAGTATATAGCACACTCCATTATTGTTTTGCAAAATATTTTTTGCCACTGTTACATATTTGGGATCAATAAACTCAATATTATAGTGTTTAAACTGAAAATTTCATGTTACCATTGCTTAGCAACGGATAAACTAAAAAATGTACTTTAAATCTATTTCGCATATGCTCATTCATAAATAGCTTAGTTCTTTATTAAAATTAAACCTTAGAATTAGGCAGCTTTCCCACTTATTTTCTTTACACTTGACTCGATCGATTTCCGCGAAAGGCTCACGTTTAGATAATTAGACACATTTAAATAGAAGTTTGATTTAGAATTCGATATTGTAAATTTGTTTCTCTATTGCCATTAAGTATAAAGAAAAGGTGAGTAAATTAACATTCTATGTCGTTTTAAATGTTAGGCTTAATGTTCATCATACAACGTTTGCAAAGGTTTAATGAAGAGAAAGAGTTAATTTTTGACGATAATTAAACATTTTACCGTTATCTGGGCTAGTGAAACAAATAAAAGGGAAGTTGGGAAATTGATTAGCAATTTAAGATCTTTCTAAAAATGCTCACTGGGGAACCAGACGCATTAAATGGATGAGCACAAAGGCATAAATTGTAAACTTGATTTTAAGCAAAGTTAAGTACTCTAGTGTTACGAGAGATGGAAGTATGTGCTGAGATAAACAGTTTGGTAGATTGTGAATATGCGGACTACTTTCTTATCCCTATGGGTCCGTAAATCATTGCTGAGATTCGGGAACACTGACAACAGGGATTTGCGAAATAAATTATCTAATCATTGAGCTTCATGAAGACACTATATTCCATTTTATCTTTCCTGAGCCAACGGCAATGCATTTCGACCAAGTTAAAAGATAAATAATAGTGGATGAAGAAATTCTTATCAGTGTTAATACAATGGAAAGGAGTCTCATTATAAAAAATTCTTATAAATATAAACCAAATTTATATTGTCCTGTGCTCTAAGACTGGGTAATAAAACTGGTCAGTAAAGTCAAGCCATTAGAATGGAAATATGTTTTTAATCTTCCCAATATATGGACACACTTATGAGGCATTTCTTAAACAGTTAGTACTCTCATAGATAACTTATAAACAACATCAAAATTCATATAAAAATCACAGACATATAAATATACTGGGAAAATGTACAGTTTAGATTTTGATGAAATTTGAATATGCAAAAGAATTAACACCCGTAAATAACATTTTTAAAATTTAATTTATAACACAAATTCATTTTTTGCATATATTTATCCATTCATACCGAGTTTTAATTAACTCATTTCAATTTTAGATCATGAATTAATCTTATAAATACCGTTAAATCAAATAACAAACGAAATGCCGTGGATTTCATCTACGACCTTCATATGTTCAAATATGTCAAGCAAGGCTTAGGAGGTTATTAGTGCACTATATAAATGCATTGGTTTAATACTTTTGTATCAATATTTATAAAAGAAATCCGTAAGTTGTGTCAACGTTTTCAAATTTCAGTTTTTAAATTTGTCTTTGATGTCATAAAATGCGACATTGATTTTCTATTAAAGTAATATTTTAGCAACCCAATCATGACTGCATCATGGATAGTGAAAATGCGGGAGAAACGGAGAAGAAAAAAAGCTGCCAAAAAAGCCCTTAAGAATAAGTCTGGTCTTAAAGAGTCGAAACTGAAATCGGACTTTTGTTGTAATTTTCCAGAAAAAGTTAACTGTGCAACCATGTTTGATCCTCTCGATCAACCAATATTTCAGACTGCTCGAGCTGATTCAATATCTATGTCATCCTCAGCATCATTTTCGCCACCCATCGACTTGGATCGAGCTGCTTCTCCTCCCGATGACCTTCCCGGTTTGGGTAAAAATATTTCTATCAATTCCCGACAACCAATAGCTGCTACCTGATGTTTACAATGAATTGATCGTTTTATACACATTCACTAATTAAAAAATAAATAATATGTTTTTATAATTCTTCTTCTTGTTAAATAGCATTCCTTTCTCTGCTTTTTATTCTATATGATTTGTCTAGTTGGCTATTTCAACCTCGATGAATGGTCTATCCAAATTGGAATACCAACTTTATTATGATCGATTAGTTAATAGGCAAAATTTCCTACAAAATCAATGATATTGCATAAATGCGGAATTAAATAAACGATTCTAGTTTTTTTCTGTGCCTAAATTTGGAAAATTGACATCTAAATTGTGCTACTAAATTTTTATAAGCGTTAATGCAAGGTATTAGCGATTGTATCCTGCTCAAAATTTCCAAAAAATCATTTTGTGAAGGCTTTATTTTCTACAAGTAGGCTAATTGTTTCAATCGGAGACAGTATATTCTCTTGAGGCTTTGAAAATCTGCATTAGAATCTATAAAATTAGTTTGCACTATCATTGAAAAACTTATTCAAATTAAATACGTTTGATTTAAACTCGCTATTAACTTCTAA